ATAAACTTACTAAAACAACTCCTTCATTTTCGTTTATTTTTAATTAATTCTTTGAGTTGCATCAAATTAAAGGCAGAGCCTTTTAGACACATTCACATTTTCATTTTAACAAAGGAAAAAAGAAAGGGTCCAAGACCAGTGTTTGTAGGAAGGTATAAAAAGGGATCACACAAATCAGGTGATACATCATACATCTCAATTGAAGTTGGTCTTTTTGTAGGTGAAGATTTACCATGTCCCTTTAATAGTCCACTTGAGGGTTCCACCGCAGCCCATTGAATTTGATCTTCAACTTTTTCATAAAATCGAATCACAAGATCAAAGAGCTTTTTGTGCTCTTTCTTATATACCATGCCATCTTCTAATTAGTGCATGGGATTGCTTCATCAGGAGAAAGAAGTTTCCCTAAAGAGAGTGAAATTGAAAAGAAAGCAAGGAATTTGGAGGTTATTGAGAATCCTATATTCTGAAAAAAAAAAAAAAATGGGGGGGAAATGAAAAAGAAATTAAGGTTCTGATGTGGAAACATAATAATTTTGTAAAAGTGTTGAAACATGAATTTATAGAAAATAATTGGATATTGATTGACAGATTTTTTTATTCAATACGTTGCATAATATATTTATTAAAAAATTATTATTATTTAGTTAAAAATTAAAAATAAACAAATTTAAAAATACAGTCATGTATACAACACATAGAAACTAGTTAAATTAATTATACTTATATTATATTTTAATAATTAAAGTGAAACAAATGTCAAAAAAAAATATTAAACTGAATGTGTATTAATTATTTCCCTTTTATATTATTCCAATGCTATTACAAATTTGAGAAGTAGAGCAAGGTTCATTCAAGATGTACTCATTGTGTCTTATTACAAGAATCAATAAATTCAAAGATTCTTAGTAGGCTAAGTTATTATATATATAGATAGTGCTATAGGGATAATTTTTTTATATCATTTTATTATATAATTTTTACATATTATTAAATTAATGGATACATTCAATAACATGAGTCTCACATGAATTAAAAGAATTAATAATTTAAACGATATGTTAGGTTGTATAAAAAAGTGAGACAAAAAGGTCGTAAAAAAATCATTTCCCTATATATATGGTATTATGATTATGTATAATAAACAGATTAAAACAGACAATATCACTAATAATTAAGTTGTTACACACTCCAAAAGAAAACTCGACTGTGTAAAAATGAAACTTTAAAAAAAAAAAAGGAATACTGTTTATGAAACTAGACCTATTAAGAGACAAGTAACGGTTTATGAAATTCATTCTAAATCTTTTGATATGACATACTCCAACGAAAAAAACCGTTTGAAACTTTGGCCAGCCAGCTTCTTCGTATGGATGTTTAGTAACTTTTTTACTTATTTCATTTATCCAAGTTGCATATTTTCTAATTTTTTGAACAATGGAAATTGAATCCTGCTCATAAATTGTCATTCTCATTTCTAATTATGTTAAAAGGACAGTCTTCCTTACTCAACAATGTATATCAATTGAGAATATATTCTCTATTCAAATTTGTGATAATCAATAGTAAAGAATATATAGCAAGAATTTTATTTATTTAAGGTGTATTCATGTATCTTTCTATAAAATTTTGATTTGGTGAAAATAATTTTTGTATT